TATAGAATAAAACAAACACTATAACGTTACTGTACTATCAAAGATCAACTAATTATTACTGTTTTGATTTATGCTTTGACACTTAAACATCTATCTTATTTTTTAATCTATATTTTGCTCTTATATAAACTTAAATATTTAAACAGTGCGGTTAGAAAATTATATTTTTCTTAGAAACAAACCATACAGTTTTATTATTTTATATTGCGTTTATTAAATAACAATAAGAAATACATCACTTATTTGCAAATAAATTCTAATCTTTTCTTAAAATAAGTAAAATAAAGTGATTTTGTTATTTTTTTTAACAAAAATGTACGAAAAAAAATATACTTATTTTTGTGACATACACTAAATTATTTCTTATACATGTTTTAATATATTTTTACGAAATCAAAATTGAGTTAATTTAAAGCTGTTATACATTCGTTCTAAAATTCGAAAAGCAAAAAATTTTTAACATTTTCAAAGAACATTTAAGTAACGAATAAGATATTTTAGTAAAAAAGATTTTGTTCAGCGAAATATCTTTACTATGATATAACATTTATATAAAAATGGTTTTATAATGAATATAAACCTACAAGAATTTTATGGCAATTTTTTGACTTTGACAGGGCATCTGATAGTTTTTAGTGTTGCCAGTGAGCAAAAAATTCCCAACTTCAAAACAAAAATATACACAATCTTTTTTTTATCGTTATTAAAATAATATCTATATTCCGTGTAATTTATTGGTCAAAATATGACGCTTTCAAAAATTTTTACTTTACTAAATTGACAATTACCATAAGATCCTTGTAAGTCTAACTCACAAGAATTCTGACAGTGACAGTTCGCTAGAAAACTATTTTGACATATGTCAAAAAATTTGGATACATCTATACTAATATTAAAAAAAAGATAGATTTTTGATAATTTTGGTATGTATTGAAATAACTCAAAAACTACTGGTCCGATTTGAAAAATTCTTTCTCAGTTAGAAAGGTAATTTATCTGTGAGTAACATAGGTTATAATATAATTCCACGCGGATAAAGTCGCGAGTTACAACTAGTGTTGTTATTCTATTCAAACACGAGTGATGCACTCGCATAGGAAACGGAGGAGTCTTGGTGATTCATACATTGAGAGGATTGTGCGTATTTAAGAAATTTCAACGACATTTTAGGTGAATTTGATTGACTTTGCAGTTTTGATATCGCCTGTAAATAAAAACATTTTTTTATTATCATCACCAGCTCACTATACGTCCCCACTGAGGGAGGAGTCTACCCTAAGTTAGGGTGACTAGGCCATAGTCAACCACGCTGCACTGCGGGTTGACTTCACACATATCTTTGAATTCCTTCGCCGATATGTGCTGCATCACGATGTTTTCCTTCACCGTAAGAACGTCGGGTAAATTATGTACATATGAAAATTCGAAAAATCGAAAATCATTGGTACAGCGGGATTCGAACCCAAGACCTGTAGATTACAAGTCAAGTGTTCAAACCACTGAGCCACCGACGCTTTTTTATTTTTTGTATTAATTACTAACATTATAAATGCGAAAGTTTAGATGGATGTTTGTTACAGTTTATAGCTTAAACGGTTAAACGGATTTCGATGAAATTTGGTACCGATGTAGACGATAGTCTGGAAGAACACAAAGACATACTTTTTTTTCATCACGCGGACGGAGTCGCGGGCGAAAGCTAGTTATAAGTAATTATACTTCACCTGAAGTAACACTCCAATAGGATGTCTCCCACAGATGGTGTTTCCATACTTGTTGAGATACTCTGTGAACGCGCGGGGATCCATCTTCTCTATTATGTTCATACCCTGTTGATAAAGATTGAAGATAAATGAAATATGCAAATAGTAAAATAGTATGAAAATCAGATAAGGTTATGTCAGAAAATTGGTAAGTAAAATGGTGAGAATGTTAATGAAATCTATGAAAAAAGTGTCGTCTGAATAATTTTGTCGATAGAAAAGAGTTAGGAGAAAGAAGTGAAATGAAATATTTGGTGAGAACGAATAAGAGAGAATTCTATGGGAAGAACGAATAAAACAAAAATGCTGAGAATAAAGCAGTGAGAAATAGTTGGTGAGAACGAATTTAAAATAAAAAGTTGGTGAGATCAAACAGAAAAAAAATAGACAAAGATAAAATAGGTGAGAACGAACTGGAGACAAATATTTGGTGAGAACAAAATGAAAAGAAAGGTTTTGGTTAGAACGACTTGGTGACAAATAAATGGTGAGAACGAACTGAAAAAACTGGTGAGATCGAAATAAAAATACAAATTTGGTGAGAATGAACTGAAAACATAGATTTAGGTGAGAAAATGTTGATCTAACCTGTGTATCTAGCCACTCGATGCTCTCATAGATGTGTCCCCGCGCAGGGTCCCGCCACGTGTACCTGAAGCGGGAGCCCCAGTGACAGAAGTCTGATGACACCACCACCAGGTTCTGAGGGTCCGCGAGATATGGAGCCAGAATTGACCCGTATCTGGATTTAATACAAAAACATATATCTTTAACAGTGGTAGAGCCCGCGTTAACATCTTCGCACTGCAGGGCTTGCCTCCAATACCACGACCACACAGACAGGCGGGAAGTGGAAGCAATTCCGCGTACAGTCTGATGAGTGTGGTGCCGGAGGCCCAATTTTAGTTACTTTCCCTTTCGATCCTTTTCTTAAGAGGGAAGGATGGGGTGGAAAAGTGGATTTGACGGTGGAGACGCATAAGAAGGAGAAATGTCCTTTTTATGTGCGTCTCCTCCGTCAATGAAGGGTAGGCAACGCATCTGCAATTGCGGATGTCTATGGGCAGCGGTTGCTTAGCCATTTTGGCGATTTCAAGTGGCCGCTTGCTCGTTTGCCACCGTATGTTATAAAAAAAATCTTATTAAAACATATAAATTCGTAATTAAATGGATGGATGATTGTAATCTACTGAATGGATCTCGGTGAAATTTGGTATGAATGTAGAGAATAATCTAGAACACATAGGATGTTCACTTCTGTTTTGTTACTTCCACGCGGACCAAGTCGCGAGTAACAGCTAGTATTAACAAATAAGCATAAATTACTGCTACAACTGCTAAATTAATGTTTGGATGTATGACTTATTTACTAGAAAATGCAAAAATGGATCTTGCTGAAATTTGTCACAGAACACATATGTTTTTTGCTAAGTTTTTTAATTATAGGTGAAGTCGCTGTAATAGGGAATATGCATGTATTTTTTTAAACGATTCTACTTGTTATAAAATAACCAGAAAACAAAATTGACGCGAAAATATTCAACCATCGAGCTAAAAATAATAAAATAAAGTTACGACCATTTTCGTGCGACTAAAACGCGACTGGAGTTGTCAGGAGACAATTGACGTCAATCGTCTATTCCATTCATAACATACGCTCAGATGTCACTTCGATGTAAAAAACAAAGTTTCTCAAGGTCAAAAAGTCAAAAATCGATTCATTTTTATTATTCCTGGTACAAATAAGTGGTAATTAATAATTCTATTTATTATTTTTTTATTTTAAAGTTGGTTTTGATATCGTGTTTACAGTAAAATACTTCAAGAGTGTTCTATATAAACTAACGTAAATGAACTGTGTATTGTCAACACAGCGACGCCATATTAGATAAGCCACTTGCTTCGACCAATAGTGTGCGTTTTAGAACTTGCGAGGGAATTTGAAAAAAGACACTTTTTAATGATTGAATTTTGCCACTAAATCACGTTATATTTAAAAAAATCTTTGCAGGAATGTTTTTATAGTAATAAAGTATACTTAAAAAAAGTTTGGTACAATTTGGCGTCATATGCATATTGTCTGTTATTATAGTTATTTTTAATACTCACTTAGCTTCTTTCTCTGGTGTTAAAGATCCAACTAATATAGGTATAATTGTGAAACCCGTTTTATATCTGGAAATATAAAAAATACAATATCAATTAAAATATTTAAAAAAAAACTATAAAAAAATCTCGTAAGTACAGATTTTTTATTACAAGTAGTACGTAATTATCTATTTTTTTTTATAAAACACATATATGGTAAAAAAACAAGTTGGATTTCGCAGAAATAACGAAGAAACCTATAGACAACGTAATTGCAAATTTTAATCAAGAGAGATGACGCACATAAAGATATCTCCCCTTCCTATATGTCCCTACACTGTCTAATCTACCCAAAATTGACCAACAATTAGGTTTATTCTTTTTTTATTTAACTAATAGTGTTTTCAATACTCACTCTTCCATAACTTTAGCGATGTAAGGTAAATGCATTTCTATAGAATGCTCGTCTTCGTCTGTCTGTACATCCATCCATTCGAATTGACGCGTCGCTTCCAACTCCGAATAAACTGGACAATATGTAATAAAGTAAATATATTGGGAACATTATTTGATTTTTTTCAACAACAGATGGCGCTGTTTTCAACTTTCACACGACTTCTAGAAGTTAAGGCAACATGAAAATAAATATGTAAGGAATTTTTTTTTTCACCATCACCTTTGTTTCTCTATTTAATGTAGAAATTGTAAGTTTAAAATTGATAAGTTACTAAGCAAAAATTGACCTTTGTATGGACATACTAGCTGTTCCCGTGCGGCTTCATCCGCAAGAAATTATGAAAATTTTGTTTCATTGTTTAATTTGACAAATTATCAATAGCAAATGTCAAAATGACATGACATGACAAACCTTAGCAATCTTTCTTTCTTGATGTTGGCAGCAACTTATGGTCTCTTTCCCACATTAGGGTTTTTATCCAAAATATTCACCCCCTAAGTTTAATGGCGTGAAAATATATAGCCTAAAGTGTGACGTAAGTGTAAGGCTTTTTTTTAAAAGGAAATTTATTCAAAAATATGCTGTAATTGCTGACAGCTTAGGCAACAAAGAAGTGTGTGTTTACGCTTTATTATAATAGTATAGATTATGCAGTGAATTCAGATATTCAGAGATGTAAGAGTACATTCTGTACACACTACGTAGGTGAATAAAAGATATATATTTATATAAAAAACATACTCTGTTTGTCTATAGTAAGATCGTAGAGTGGCGTCTGATATTTATCCAGAGAAGAAAGCGCGCAACCTCCCAGCCTCACGTGATGAGAGGGGCCCAAGATGAAGATTCGTTTACTGGAATTTAAAAACAATACCTATAATATAAAAAGTAACACTTCTTACTAAAAAAACGGTGAAAAACAGAATTTTTATGTTTCATTGTATATCTATCTTTCATCTCTGTCACACCCTTCTTTATGTCACCATTTAAACAATCTATCTCTTTCTAGAAGTTAGTACACTGTTAGAGGTAGACGTAGAAAGAGATGGATTGTGTGAAAGGTGACATGATGAAGGGAGTGATGTCTGAGTTATTTGGAACGAATATAATATTACGAAAACTCCTTGTCCCATACGAGAGTAGGTTAAAGGAGGGAAGATGATCTCTTTCTAGTCATAACACAGTTAACACTCCACACTCATAAGTAAAGTTCTTATCACAAGCAAGTCTTGTATACTATTTTTAAAGCAAGAACCTGAATAACATTGTGATTCTAAAAATAAAATTGAAAAAACTTACACCACAACAGGACTGACTTGTCTATACGCGTAAGCAGCGCACGCGCCGCAATAAGAATAACCCGCATGCCTGTAATTATAAAAACAAACTACATTTTTTACGGCAATAGATGGCGTTGTTAACAATTTTTTAATTTACACTATCAATAGATGGCGTTGTTACTAACTTTATTTATTTTTATACTACCTTTATCTATTAAAGTCGTGTAAAGCCTATTTCTAATATTCAGATATATAAGCTTTAAATAGTGCTTTATGTGAATTTACAAAAGGTCTCTAGGTGCTTGTTTGGCTTACTTTTGTGCTTTGGAATAATCTATCGTATACTATTGTATAAATGCAAGTTTGTATGGATGGAAATACCACATAATTCCAGAGCGGCTGCTTAAATTTTGTTGAAATTTGGCACAAAAGTTTGAAAGAACACTTAGGCTACTAAATAAGTTTTTTAACTTCCCTCTGACGGATTCTCGACATCTAATCTATATTAATATAATAAAGAATTTTTTTTTGTATGTATATAAATCACTCAAAAAGTACTGGACCAATTTCAAAAAATCTTTAGCCATTAGAAAACTATGTTATCAGAGAGAATATAATTTTTATTATCACGTGGACGTCGTCACAAGCAATAGGCTATATATCTGTAGCTTTATTTACTTACGGTGCTATAATAGCTCTTGCAGGCCCATGTGTGAGGTCAGCTTTAGATAACCAGAGGTCTAACTGTCTTGACAGTTCGCTACCTGAAAATACATGAACATTGAATTATGCCTTCAATACATGTGTCCTTTTCGTCCATTTTAGAATTCAATAGAAATTATAGTTCAAATTGGTTTCTTGTTTATGGTCCTTAGACAGGCCTGTCTAGTTTATGCTTTTGAGACTGGCAATATTGTTTATAGAGTAGTTTCTTATCTATACTATAAAGAGGAAAGATTTGTATTTATGGATTTTTTATGTATTGATATAACTCAAAAACTACTAGGCCAATTTCAAAGATTTTTTCATCATTAAAAAGCTACGTTATTGTTGAGTAACATATTTTATTTTTATTTTACGTGGACGTCGCTAGCAACAGGTGGTTTATTAAAAAAATATATACATATGCATTAAGTACCTCCTTTTGGGGAAGTCAATCAAAAAGGTATACCAAGAGCAAGAAACACAAGAATTAAATACAGTCAATAAAAATAGAGGGAACAGTTTCATAAGATTACAAATGATTGAAAGATTATAGTTTTGAATTACCTAACATTTTTTTATAATATAAGTTGGCAAACGAGCAAGCGGCCTGAATCCACCAAAATGGAAAGCGACCGCTGCCCATAGACATCCTCAATTGCAGATGCGTTGCCTACCCTTCATTGACGGAGGAGACGCACATAAAGAGGACATTTCCCCTTCTTATGCGTCTCCTCCACCGTGAAATCCACTTTTCCCTTCCATCCTTTCTCATAAGAAAAAGGGTGGAAAGAGAAAGGGAGTAAAATTAGGCGTCTGGCACCACACTTAACATACTGTACGCGCAATTGCTTTCACTTCACGCCAGTTTTCTGTGTGGACCTAATATTTAGTTAGGATGTTTGTAGTATTGTCACATTATTTATTTATTGAACATAAAACACACAAATCACTGTCTAATATTATTTATAGTCTATGGATTTATTTGTTAAACTATTTAAATAACACAAACATATTTATTACCTGTCACAGACTTTAAAATTGTTCAGACAGCCTTGTAATAATTTCTCATAATCTGTTAAATCCAGAGATTAAAGAAAAAAAAAACAAAAACACATTTATGATTAATAATTTATTTACATAATAAAAAGATTACAGTAATTTAATAAATTCCATTTGATACGACACAAATCATTGTGGAAAATAACAATATATAGCCTAGATCTTACTTATATTATAAATGCGAAAGTCCAAATGTATGTTAGTAACTGCTGAACGGAACATGATGAAATTTGGCATTGATGTAGAGAATATTCTGGAAGTCTTATTAATAACTTTTTTTACTTTATGTGGACGGATTTGCAAAAGCTAGTATGAATATAAAAAATGTGGCAAATTATGCTTCAAATCTTTAAACCACTTTCTAATAGTCTGTTTATACAGGACCACATTTTCTGTCGCAAATACAATTCAATTTTATACAATTGGGATAAAATTTTGTTACAAATTTTGTAAGATCAAGCACAGTACAAGAAAATTAGAAATAAACCTTACTTCAATTAAATAAAGATCATCATCGTCATCACCAGCTCACTATACATCCCCACTAAGGGAGGAGCCTACCCTAAGTAAGGGTGACTAGGCCATAGTCAACCACGCTGCACTGCAGGTTGCTTGACTTCACACATATCTTTGAATTCCTTCGCCTATATGTGCTGCATCACGATGTTTTCCTTCACCGTAAGAACGTCGGGTAAATTATGTACATATGAAAATTCGTAAATCAAATTGGTACAGCGGGATTCGAACCCAAGACCTGTAGCTTACAAATCAAGTGCTTAAACCACTGAGCCACTGACGCTCTTAGATAAAGATCACACACCTTTGACTAAACTATCGGACGACAGTTGTGCGACACAACTAAATATCGAGTGTTGTTCACACCTCCATATAAACTCATAGGAATCTCAGCGAGACTATACAGTTGTGCGATAGTTTATTCAAAGGTGTATACACTCTTGATATATGCTAAGAAAGTAGTAACAGTGGTAGTGCCCGCTTTAACATCTTAGCTCGAATGGGCCGGCACGCCCGTTGTCATACCACGACCACACAGAAGTGTCCCTTTCCCTTTACCATCCCTTTCTTATAAGAAGAGGATGGGAAGAGGAAGTGGATTTAACGGTGGAGGAGATGCATAGGAAGGGGAAGAATCCTCTTTATGTGCATCTCCTCCTCTGTCGGATAGAGGTAGGCAACGCATCTGCAATTGCGGATGTCCATGGGCAGCGGTCGCTTCGCTATTTTGGCGGATTCAGGTGGCCGCTTGCTCGTTTGTCACGTTGTATTATAAAAAAGGTAGTGTCTACAATAATGCAATGAATTTTTACATTCCGATATAGGCTTTAATGTGTACTGTTAAATCCAGTATTATTCTATTTTACAGCAGAGTTTTGTTATATTTCTGGTTGGTTTTAAACATTCAATCATCATCACTATCTTCTTTATCCAACAACTGGGCAATTCTATCCGAAGCGCCTTTTATCAAACTCTCATTGAAATTAGGAAATCTCTTTTCAAACTGCAACCTCATACTTTCCAAATCAAATTTCTCCCGTTCCAAGTTATTTAAACTGCTTTGTGTCTTTTCATATTCCTTAAACTTGTCAACATCCAAGTTGGAATGCTTTTTAATTTCTGCCAACCCTTCTATCGCGTCAGTAACCGCATCTAACAGTTGTTTATGTCCACTCTCCTTGTTGTAACCGAAATCGACATTTTTTGTTTCCAATTTATCTAATAACGATTGTTCTGTACTTGCTAAATTTCGTAATAATTCTTCTGCATTCGAATTTGTTGCCATTTCATGAAACTTTGTGTAGTCATTTGATTTTAAATCTGAAAGTCTGGAAAGATAAATTATAATGTATTATTATTTTCTATCAAAAGTCCATCCACCATTGTCTGAATCAGCTGAAATGGCAAAGCAAACTTTTCTGATATGAACATAAAGAGGATATTTCCCTTTCCCGTGTCTCCTTGACTGTCAATTCAACTTCTTCCTATTATTTTCATATAAGAAAAGGGTAGAAAAGGAAAGTAACTAAAATCAGGCCTATGACGTGCACACTTATCAGTAAATGGTACTGTTTAACAGTGGTAGTGCAACCTGTAAAGTCTTAGTATTGATAAGCCAACTCTCCCCATACAATACTTCAACAACACAGAAGATAGACAATGAGTGTGCGTGCCAAAGACCTAATTGCAGTCTCTGTCCATTTCCATCCATTTCTTATAAGGAAAGAAAAGGAAGGGAAAGTGGGTTTGACAGTGGAGACACAAAGGGGAAATATCATTTTTATGTGCAACAGCCCACATGATTAAGGCAAAGCTTCTGCAATTACAAGTCACTATAGGTAGTGGTCACTTCACCATTTTGGCTGATTCAGCCGCTTGCTTATTTGCAACCTAATGATCTTACTAATATTATAAATGCGAAAGTTTAGATGGATGGATGTTTGTTAGCGTTTGTAGCCTAAACGGCTGAACGGATCTCCATGAAATTTGGCACAGGTTTAGAGCATGGTCTGGAAGAACACATAGGCTATTTTTTATCCCGGGAATAATTACAGTTCCCGAGGGATTCATTAATTTAGTTTTTTAATGTTTACTCAATCATTCTGCAACGGTTCAACATATCTTATTAAAATTTGGCACAGGTATAAAACAAAGTCTGGAGTACACATGGGATAAGGTTCACGCCCGAGAAATGTCCGGTTCCCAAGGGATATGTAGCTTTTTGTATATTTTACTGTTTATTTTATTTTTTTGTTTATTTAGTTTGTATGTTTTCTAATACCACGCGGACGAAGTCGCGGGAACAGCTTGTATAAAATAAAAGTATGAATTACAGATAACATTCTGTTTAACAACACATAGATAAGTATTACAAGAATTAATGCAATGTTACTATAGTAAGAAACATGATACAAACCTTTCTTGTTCAACAACAAATGATATCTCCTTCAATCTTTTGCTCGTTTTATCTAATTGGTCTCTTGTTTTGTTGAATCGATCAGCTAATTTACACATTTGAACATCTACTTCCGTTTCCTCGCGTTCAAATTTCTCACGGACTAGACATTCTTCTAGCATAGTGCGCATGAATTTGCCGTAAGCTATTTGACGATATTGTTCCTCGTAGTCTTGTAAATCATCGGCCTTGCATATCGTAACATCAGCTGGGTTTAATTTACTACACAGCGTCGTATTCAACTTCGGTAAAATTCTTTTCTTTGTTGTATTGATTGTTTTACGCACGGATGATGGCACTTGAGTTGATTTAACCGGCTTAGATATCGGTAACGCGAAAGTTTTGCGTTTATCCGACATTTTTAAATTATTCGAACCAGATTTTACGTACATATTTCGCATGTCGAATATGTTTACAGTTCCGTTTCCGTTGACGTTTATTTAAAACGCTGTCATGGCGACGTATTTGCGTTCGGAAACCATTGATTACATTTTTAATATGTACTAAGTTAAAAAAATAAAACCGACTAAAATACAATGCGTATAATACTAGATATTAAATTAAATAAGATAAATCACCCCATGACGTGTAGTTATTTATTAACTTTAAAAATAATAAAAAGAACACTCGTATTACTACTGTCAGACCTTGGTTTCCGAACGAGCAATGCTTTGTGATTTAAAGAACTGTAAAAAAACTATAAACAAATATAATTACGTCAAAATTACTATTAATAATACTTTTAGAATAAATCAAATATTATTTACTTTTTATTCGAATAAAATAGATATCAACAAATGCATCACGCTAATTAACAATTACCGTAGACAAACGTTTATCTTTTACAATATCAGACACAGGAAGAATTAAGATATTGTGTTTGATAATGCAGTATGCAGTCGCATAATAATTAAAATCACGGTGGCAGGTACTTTACGATAGACCTTTCGAAAGGTCATTCACCTTTTAACATTGTCACCTTTTATATGAATGTAGACAAAGGCTTCTTCATATAAGAAATTATTAGCAATATCACCACTATGTACATCGAAGTTATGTTATAATTTAATAAGAAAATTATACATTTACTGTAAATGCGAAAAATAGTGAAGTAAACATACCATTCTCAGTGTACCAGCTACCAGCATGAGATGCATTACGACACGACATTTTATTAAATCACTTATGTATAATCAAACTCTGTTAAAATAGGAAAATATCAATTAAGAACTACTTATAATAAAATTAAATACTTTTTTCTGCAGCTTTGGCTTTGATTTGACGTTCACTTTTATCAATCAAAAACGCAACATCTGTTAACACTACAGAGTATCCAATAAATAATTAATTAAAAAATGTACGATAAAACGAAAAGTAGTATTTATTTTAAGCAACGCTAAACATTTAAGGTAATAAATAGTTAAACAAATAACAATTAAATCTGAAGACCGAAATAAAAACGTTTCTTTTAAGATGTGATGTCATTGATTTGACGTATCTGTATAATCTGTGGAAAAATGTATTTGAAAAAAAAATATATAAAAACAATTCAATTTTTTGCTGATTTGTAACATTTTGTAATACGGTATTTTATGCAATTTCTAAGCGACGTATTTAACAATATTGTCTTGTAAAGTGAAAATTACACAGTTAGCAATAGGGATTTTCATATTTTATAAGTAATCGTCTTTCAGTGAATATTTTAGAAATATTTCATAACATATCCGGAAGCCGCTCAAAAATGTTGGTCTCATTATGTAAGTATTGATTATTTTTTAATAACTATGATAATAATTCAGTTGATTTCTTGTAAAATATATGATCTAATTTTACTTCTGAATTTTAACTTTATTCTTATGTAAATGCACTTTCTCTTACGCAGTATGTGCAGTGGTTATTTTTACATGCATCTAATCAACTGAATATTTGAAATTACTGCCTTTAGCATATCCTCTACATTCAACTAATACAATACATACTTTCTTTGGTTATTCTCCACCTTTGTAACATTTCAATTCAGTAAATGCTTGTGTTCTTGTTTATTTAATTTTACTTTAAGTATATAGGTTTTTAGAGTCAAGGTAACTTTAACAACCTCTATTATTATTGATTATTCATTGTTATTCATCAAAATACATTTTTCATGTAGTATAATGATTCTGCAGTTTTAATATAAATTTTAAAAGATAAGATAAATGATTTATAACTAAAAGAAGACAAACAAGGAAGTGTTTATTATTTTATTCATAACTATTCCAAATTACTTGTCTTTGGCTTAATTGGACATCTGCAAATGCGCACCATACTGGTACAATTGGGAATACATACTAGTACACACTTTTTTTACCTTTGGTACTCCAGATTTGTGAGATCACAATATAACGCTAATATAACGAGGGTCATAGATTACTTCACATCAAATTTTAAGCATGGTCAAACATATGTTATGAGCAAAAATAAATTAAAGTCATAAATAATTTTATCCACCTTTGATTCTTATTATTGAAGGTGGATGCTTTAATCTGGCAAGTATACAATCAAATCAAACAAGGAAGAAGCGAAAACCCATATCATGTAGTGTACTAAAAGAGCCAAATGTTTGATTAACAGAAGCCGTTCAGTACCATTACTTTTAGTACAGTGCCGAGTAACACTACTTTTTAGTATATCATATGTGTACTACCTAAGACTACAAGTTACATATTTAACTATTAAATTATATGTTGTAAATGATCAGAGATGTATTTGTGTTATAAATCATCATCACCTCATTATACGTCCCCACTAAGGGGCTTGGAGCCTACCCAGGGTTAGAGGTGACTACAGGCGGAGTCGTGGACGAAGACAAGCATTCCCGTGGCCCCGTCTTTATGAGTTGGAGGAACATAGAACAAAGGGGTTTAGTGGTTATGCCTTGTAAGAGGAGAATCCCACATAACTGCCGCGTCCCCCCCCCCCTAGAGCGGTATAACGCATTTCCCTCTGGAAAAAAAAAAGGTTAGGGGTGACTAGGCTATACTTGGCCATGTTGGCCCACTGCATGCAGACTTCACACATTTTTTTGAATTTCATTGTTGATATGTGCAGGTTGCACCACAATGTTTACAGTAAGAATGTTGGTTAAATTATGTACATAGACAGGATTTGAACCCAAGACCTGTAGATTACAAGATAGATGCTTAAACCTCCAAGCCAATGACACTAGTTAATACAAGTTGTAAATTTATTCATTTGCAGGTCGCAGGAAGTCCACAGTAATGCGCTTGTCGGCAGCTCTACACACAGAGAATGCACAGAAACCTAAGACAGCAATAGTCATGTTGAACATGGGTGGACCTCAAACTGTGGATGAGGTGAGTGATGTTACAATTGGAATTACATTTTTATATATCTGTTTAGACTGTAAATGCCAAGAATGCTTCTTAAGCTTAAGGGTTACATCTACAAGTCCATCATAAGACCTGTCATATTGTATGGATCTGAATGCTGGGCCACCAAAGTTGCGGATGAAAGAAGATTGCATGTGGCTGAGATGTGTATGTTAAGATGGATGAGTGGTGTAACAAGAATGGATAAAGTTAAGAATGTGTTCATTAGAGGAAGTTTCAAAGTAGCGCCAGTGGTGGAGAAATTGCGAAGCAAAAGGTTAGCGTGGTATGCGATGAAACGAAGGTGACATAAACCAGAAAGTGTTAGGACTGAATGTGGATGGCTACATTGGTAGAGGAAGACTGAAGAAAGTATGGATGGATTGTGTGAAAGAGTATATGCTTAAGAAAGGAGTGGATTCAGATATGATGGCTGATAGAGATGTTTGAAGGCAGCACATACTGTGCCGACCCTCCATAAGGGATAAGGGCAAGTGGATGATGATGTTTGTTTACACTGTGGAAACATTCATGTAATATATGTTGTGTGGCTTTAACTATGTTTTTTGTTAACAGAATTGATAATTTCCAAAGAGCAAGTTTTCAATGTGAAAATAAATTTTGTAGATTATTTGTCCATAATGTTGATATCTGAAGTTTTTTTTTAAAGTATCTAGTTTAGGAACAAATACAAAACATAGTCTCAATAGATTCAAATAACATAATTAGTTTTACTATTGGTCCCTTCTAGGTCTAGGCTATGCTCTGCTGTCAACACTCTTGAACAAACATAATTTTTTGTTCTTAAAAGATAGAAGTATTTTTTAATATGACCTAATAAGATTCTTGTAAGTGCTAAGATTACAACTGCATATCTAGAAAGGTTATCTAAGTGTCCTAACCTAATTTTTTTAAGATGTTTTAGTGTTAAAATCATAACATGTTATTCAGTTTTTTTTGTACAACTAGCTTTCGCCCGCGACTCCGTCCGCGTGGAACTGAAAAAAACAAAATTGAATAGCCTATGTGTTCTTCCAGACTATCCTCTACATCTATGCCAAGTTTCATTGAAATCAGTTCTGCTGTTAAGGCTACAATCTCTGACAAACATCCATCTAAACTTTCACATTTATAATATTAGTAAGATTGCGGCTTGCTTGGAGAATAACAAAATCATGCAAATTAATTGATTACTTATGTAACCCTAAGTGTGGTTATGAATGAAAAATTTTCACTAAACAACTATTTAAATAACAATTAAAATGTCACAGATATCGATGTTTTAAATAGACGCGTCATTTTAGGTCAATTTCGTTACAAGAAAGAGATGAATGAATACAAGGTAGGAATAAAAGAGATAGATATAGTTTTCACTTTCAAAATTTCCAGGTAGGGGAGTACTTGCATCGTATAATGACAGATCGCGATATGATTCAGTTACCGGTACAGAGTAAATTAGGTCCCTGGATCGCGAGTAGACGGACAGATGAAGTAAAGAAGAAATATATGGAGATTGGTGGAGGTTCACCTATATTGAAATGGACTAATACACAAGGTTAGTCCATCTACATAACCCAGTACTAGCATGTATGTATAAACTAGCTTTCGCCCGCGACTCAGTTCAATTGCAACAATGACTATGGTATTCTTGCTTCTTTGCTGCTATTGACTTGTATTTTTTTTATAATATAAGGTGGCAAACCAGTAAGCGGCCACCTGAATCTACCGAAATGGAAAGCGACCGCTGCCCATAAACATCCGCAATTGCAGATGCGCTGCCTACCCTTCATTGACGGAGGAGACGCACATAAAGAGGACATTTCCCCTTCCTATTCGTCTCCTCCACCGTCAAATCCACTGTAGTCTCTTTCCCTTTTGTAGTTTTTGTTTCTTTCTCGCAAAGTGATTTCTTCTAATTTTCTCACCCTTCTTAAGATGAATGACGTGAAAATATATGGCTGCAACCGCGTCGTAGTTGTAAGGCTTTTTATTAAAGGAATTATTCAAAATATGCTGTAATTGCTGACATCATACGTAACTTAGTAATGTGTGTTTGTTTTATGTTAACATGGAAGTATAAATGATAGATAGATCATTTTTACAAAGAAATCTAATAATCTATTACAGGTAGTATGTTAACTAAAGCCCTAGACCAAATGCTTCCTGAATCAGCGCCTCATAAACACTACGTCGCGTTTAGATATGTGCCGCCATTCACTGATGACACTTTTGAGCAGTTGGAGAAGTAAGTTTTACAATTGGAGTAGTAAGTTTTACAATTGAAGTGGTAAGTTTTACAAATAGAGTATTGAGTTTTACAATTGGAGTAATAAGTTTTACAATTTGGATAACTTTTACAATTAGAAGAATAAGTTTTACATATACGATAAGTTTTACAATAGGAGTAAAAAAATTGAAAATTGAAGTAAGTTTTACAATTGGAGTAGTAAGTTTTACAGTTGAAGTAGTAAGTTTAACAATTGAAGTAAATTTACAATTGAAGTGGTAAGTTTTACAATTAGAGTATTGAGTTTTACAATTGGAGTAATAAGTTTTACAGTTTGGATAACTTTTACAATTATAATATTTTTTTTTACATATGCGATAAGTTTGACAATTGGAGTAATAAGTTTTACAATTAGAGTCGTGTTTAATAGTTAGTTTTCTTGCTTTGTTTGATTATTTTTAACTACCAGGGACGGTGTGGAGAGAGCAGTGATATTCTCACAATACCCTCAGTACAGTTGTGCGACCACTGGCTCCAGTTTGAACGCGATCGCTGATTATTATAGAAAAAGGTTTGTTTAGTTTTTAACATTGTTTTATTAACAAGCTATTTACTATATTAAGGTGAAATTATAAAAAAAAACTTTAATGTATGCTTGGTACTATTTAATCATGGGTGCAATAATGTGTACCCATTGAACAAATATGGGGGATAAACTACCCCCATAACCATAGGGGTGCTGATTTGGCGGAGATTACTCCACCGTTAAAATAGTCTTCGACGATTGTTTTTTTTTTTCATTTTTTATTCTCAAGGCGGGGGGAGCGATTCCCCTACCTTTTGTTTGATAGTTGGACCATTTTGATGGTAGTTGACTCCCCAGAGGTATATTTCTAAACAGTTTTTCTCTGGGTTATAAAAAAAAACAAAAAAAAATGTGTTTTTACAGACAAATACCACAGAATATAAAGTTCAGTATGATTGAACGATGGCCGACACATCCGTTGTTAGCGAAAGTGTTTGCTGAACGGATAAAGGAGAAATTGCAGAAGTTTGACGCAAGTCTGAGGAACGATGTATTGATTATGTTCACAGCGCATAGTTTACCTTTAAAAGTGAGTATTGGTCAAATAAATTAACTAACACTTAAAATTAACTAAAATCCGAATTATTAGATGAATTTACTTTTAAAATATTGAAATGAGATTTAGAAATGAAGGTTTACAGTGAGTAATTGATTTGAACTCTATTTTTTACTTATTTTAATGATGACCACAATTGACCATATTTGACCGACATTGACTATAATTGTAATTAACCATGATTGACCATGATTTATCATTATTGTCTATAACTAGCTGTTGCTCGTTCACGTAGAATTAAACAAAAATATAGCCTATGTGAGTGATAACATAGCTTATTAAAGGTAAATGAATTTTTGTAATCGGCCCAGTAGTTTTTGAGTTATTTTAGTACATACAAAAATACAAATCTTTATAATATTGGTATAGATTAACCAATATATCTGTCAAAAAGTTACTATAACTGACCATAGTTGACTATATCAGTCATTAATAATAATAGACCATGACTGACCATATTAAACTGACCGTGATTGACTGTAAGTCCGTTATTGACTAGAAAATGATCATGACTGACCATGATTGACTGTAAGTCAGATATTGACCATATCATATGACCATGACTGATCATGTTAGACTTTAATTGACTATAGTCGATTCTTATATCCCAGGCGGTATCTCGTGGTGATACTTACCCACATGAAGTGGCGGCCACAGTTGCTGCGACTATGAACGAATTAAAACTACCCAACCCTCACCGACTGGTATGGCAGTCGAAAGTAGGGCCGTTGCCATGGTTACAGCCGTACACAGATGATGCTATTAAGGTATGGTTTATGTAGGAAATGTTTATTTAACCTATAACTAGCTGTCATCCCCGACTTTGTGCGGAATTGAAAAAAAATTTAATAAGTAGACTATGTGTTGTGCCAGACTATGTTCCACATATGTGACAAATTACATTGAAATCCGTTCCAAAGTTTAGCGACTCTAATATACATACATCCATCCATATTTTTGCATTTATAATATTAGTTACGTAACAGACTAGCTGTTGTCAGTGTGGAATTGCAGAAAAAAAACTTAACTATGCTCCACAAATGTGAGAAATTTCAGCGAGTTTTGTCGAATCGTTGTGGAGATTAGTAACGAACATCCATCCATTCTGATTCTCACATTTTTTATATTAGTACGCTTATAATAGTTTGTATTATTTTTCAGGCGTATTCAAAACAAGGAAGGAAGCATTTAATTCTAGTACCGATTGCATTTGTCAATGAACATATAGAGACATTACATGAATTGGATATTGAATATTGCGATGAAGTTGCTCATGAGGTAAATAACCTTGAAAAAACTTTGTTTCCTTATTTCTGTTTTTTTCCTATTTACCTACTCTCCTTCCCTCCCTTCCTTCCTTCTATCATCCCTCCTCTAGCCCTCCCTCTGACCTTACCATACCTCCTTTTCCTGTAGCCTCTTCCTATCACCTACATCTTTGTATCTTTACTTTTTTATCTCTCGCCCTTCCTACCACTTTTTTTGAATATTTCTTACACTTTCCTTCCTCCCAACTTTGGACCTGTCACTTTTTGATTTTTCACTGGGACTCTCCATTCCTTCTTTGTATATATCTTTCTACCTCCTCACCACTCTTTTTGTTTTTTTTTACGGGGACCTTAATAGTAATTGTGTTCCCAGGCAGGTATAAAACAGATAGAAAGGGCGTCAGCACCTAACGACCATCCCATCTTCATCGCGGCCCTGGCGGACGTGGTGGCAACACATCTCACCACAGGGCCCAGAGTGTCAAAACAGTTCTTATCCAGGTAATTACTATGATTGACCACGGTTGACTATTTTTGACCAAGACTTATGATGGTTTATAATTATTTTTAGCCATAATTTACAATGCCTACAAAGGACTGAGCCATTGGCTAACTTTGACCATGTTTGACTATAAGTGATCGTGATTGACTATCTTTAATTATAACTTGTAATGATTCTTTGACTATAATTGATAATAAAAGACTAAGTGATTGTCTAATTTGACCATAATTGACGAATATTGGCCTTACTTTACCATAAATGACAGACATTGTGATAGACTATCAATGACTATGTCTAAATTTTACCATAATTTGCCAATAGTGACTATAATTTACCATAATTGACTATAGAACATTGTAATTGACCACAATTTCTTTGTCGATATTTGACAAATGTTTGGCAATATTAACCATCAAAGACTATAAATGACTAAGGCATTGTAATAGTCTATAAATGACTATGATTGACTACAAGTCATTGACTGTCTTTGACTATATTCAATTATAAAATATATTTTTTTTATTTCAGATGTCCTCATTGTGTAAGTGAAAGATGCAAATCATCAAAGGAATTCTTTAGGAAGTTATGTCAGAGTTCGTTGAAAGATCAAACATATGCTTAAACTAATAACATACCCAAGTTTTACTCGTGAAATAGAATATCACTATATATAAAGTCACTTCCTGCTGTTACTATATATGTTTATATCTTTAAAACTGTGCAAAGGATTTAAATGCAGTTTTTTTATATATAATATTTATCTATACTTCTATACTAATATTATAAAGAGGAAAGATTTGTATTTCTGCATGTATTCAATTCATGTTAAGATTATTAGACTGATTTTAAAATTTATTCAATGTTACAAAGATAATTTATCTGTGAGTAACATAGGCTATGGTAATAACATTGACTATGGCCTAGTCACCCCTTATTAGGGTAGCCTCCGAGCCCCTCAGTGGGGCCATATAGTGAGCTGGTGTTAATAACATAGGCTATATTTTTTAATTTCACACAGGGAATGTCGCGAGCAACAGCTAGTATGTATAATATAAATAAATACTGATTATTTTTGAGTTTTCTAATGCAATGTAAATTTACACATTTTCCTATCAAGATTGGGCTTTTACGTAACTTTGGCATTCATATATACTTTAAAAAAGCATATTTTTTGGTGGAAATTGTCAAATAGTGTGTTTTTTTATATGTCTATAAAATGTGTCAATTCAATATAAGTGATTTAGTTTTAAAAAATAAGACTGGTTTTGACTATCTTTGTTTTTGTGGCGGGTTTTAAGCATTTAATTGTTGTTTTAATATATCTGTGTATATTTTTGGTTATTTTTATGAAAAATATATCAATATAATGTGTTGTTTTATTTTAATAAAGTTACCTTATCAGGCCTTTAGGGCCTGTCCCACCACTGGCTGATAGAGGCTCAGATAATTTATGACGTCACTGTCAGATAAGGGAACAAAATCTGATATTTCCATCACATATTTTACACATTATCAGACAATTTACAATTTGGTGGGACAGGCCCTTAAAATCCTAAACTGCTGAACGGATCTCTAAAAGTCACAAAAGTAGAGGATAGTCTAGAGAAAACATAAGCTACTTCAGGTTTTTTTTTAATAGTAACATTTTATTCCAGCACTTAGAATTTAGATTATAGTTTTCCAAACAAATGAACACTGACAACGCCGAAATCGACACAAAATACCGTGGCTTAGAGCGTGCGCACACTTGAAACTAAATTATCGCACAACTGTATCGCTTTGATTCCTATAAGCTTATGTGGAGGTACACTTCTCGATTGTTAGTTGTGCAACAGCTGAATTGGCAGCGTAATTAGTCTTGGGTAGTACACGTACGATGTACTAAAAAGTAATGTTACTCGGCGCTGTACTAAAAGTAAAGTTACCGAACGGCTTCTGTTAATCGGACATTTGGCACTTAGTACACTACACGATATCGGTGTTCGCTTCGTTGTTTGATTTTATTGTATATTTACTAGATTGAAGCATCCACCTTCGGTAATAAGAATCAAAAGTGGATAAAATCATTAATAACTTTAATTTATTTTCGCTAATAACATATGTTTGACCCTGCTTAAAATTTGATGTTAAATAATCTATAACCCTCGTTATATTCTATCCAGGTTATTGCATTCTCACAAATCTGAAGTACTAAGGGTTAGACGTGAGCGTTATTTCACGTCACTAGTTACAATCACCTGTGACGAGATATGTAACGGCGTCACTAGTTTCGAGTCAAATTGAAAGT